AAAAATAGTGAGTGATAATGCAAACATCAAAATATATTATAATTACAAACTAAGGATATACATCTACATAGTACTAGCGTTTACATTATGTGTATTTTCTAATGCTACTTATTATTTCTATATTTTACAGATCAAGTTGCTTCATCACTTGTTCCTATTGACAACTTTTTACCAGAAGGTTCTGTATTAAGTGAGTGAATGTGTTAGTATTATTATTAATAGATAATGTGTGTATTTTACAGATGAGTCTCATGCTCCCCTTGTACTTAAAGCTATCAAAAAGATAGTAGAAGAATGGGAGAACTTGGGACTATTCTTAGGGATTGAGAATGATGAATTAAAAGCAATCAAGTACAACTGTCAGAGTCAGGTTGAGGTCTGTAAGAAAGATGTGATCTGTCAATGGATCAAGTCTGGATCAGCTACTCGTGAAGGATTGATAGCAGCACTAGAAGATGTTGAAAGAAATGACATTGTAGCTGAAGTAATGAGTTTAACAAAACAGTGATTATTACTGACTTACATGCATTGTGAAAACACATTTGTTTTTAATTTTGTTGATGTTCAATCTTAATTTTTTATTGATTTCAAACGAGTGTTTCTTACACAAAATTTTGCTGTTACAAGTGAACCTGTAATTTTATCAAGTTAAGTGGAGCTAGTGAATGTGAGCCAAATTGGTGGTAGTTTGTAGTACTAAAATGCAATATGTAAGGACACCAGAATTGCCAATATTGGAACTGATAATGTACTTGATCCTTTCCTGACCAGCTCTACACAACCTTATATGCATGCATGTTTCCATTTGTTTGCATAGGCTAACTATTTTTAACAAAAGGCGATTCAAAAAATTAATAATAATAATAATAAAGATAACTGTCCACTACTAAAGTCTTCAGCTCATTAAAGCCTAGTCTCCTTCCTTTCAAGAAACATCTACAATAATAAATAAAGTTATTATAAAATTAATAAATTTACTTTGTACTATAGTGTGTGAGTATACTTCTTTTAGTTGAGTGAGTCTTATGATAGTCAGTCTCTTCCTCACTGGTTCTTCTGCAGTGCTTCTTGTGTTTAGTTTTTTGATGATGATAACCTTTATTAACAGAGAAAAACAAATGGCTATGTACACTGTATATGTACATTGTACACTGTTAAAACTGAGGTGTTGGCATACACTCGTGGGTGTCACAAATTTGGGTGTTGTTTACTATTGGGGTGTTGAATCAATCTAGCTTGGTGTTGTTCTATTGAAAGAGGGGTGTTACTACAACAGTACAACTTGTGTCAAATTTAAAGGATAGCCATGACACCCTTACAGGTGTTGCAATAACACTGTATTTAATACAGTGTATATATATATAGGTTATATATCCTTACTGTTCTGTGGTATGGTGAGACTACACTGTAGGTAGGAAGAGTGGAGATGTAAGGAGGTTACTCACATCCAAGGGCTACTGACAAGAGGCGAGAAAGAGAGAGAGAGAGGAGAGTAGAGTGATCCCTACAGTATGACACCTTGAAGGACCTGGGACTGGTGCCTCAACTACAGTATATAAAGGAAAACATATATCAATTATTGGGTCAATTGAAGTACAATTACTATTGTGGGAAATTTTTGATATTAATGACTATCACTGTCATTAAACTATTACATGTACATGATGTTTAAGTCACAACATGTACATTTAAAGGAATTCAAGCAGTTTTAAAAGTACAATTTTGATCAAATGAACTCAAATCCTAGTACATGTACACTGGAAAACATAATAAAAATGGAAAACTTTTTCTGAGTCATTTTGATAATATTTGGCTACAAACCATGTACATGTATCTCCATTTACAATGTAAATGTACATGTACACAAGGATATTGTTTATCTTCACTCAAATTTATCAAATTCTCAGAAGCTATAGGTTTCATTCCCCAAAACAATAATTGAATTACATTTAAGGTCACAGGTGCATGTATAGAAAACAGACACAATTTGCCAACATAAACAGGTACTATACATGTACATGTGTATACCGTATTTCCTTAAATAAAAGCCCGGGCGTCTATTTCCTAAAATGGTATTTGGATCTCAAAAAAATATATAAAAAATTTTAAAAACTTCAGCCCAGAGCGGGATTTGAACCTGTTACCTCATGCTTTTCACTTTTGGAATTTCAGGCATTATCCACTAGACTACTGAGTCACTCCTGGGCTAGTATTGCGTATTTATATTTTAATTGTATTGCTACCCGGCATTTATTCGAATGCGGCTTCTATTTAAGGATTTATGGTACATTCATTCATTAAAATACCAAACATTACTTAATAAAAATAAGTAATTTGATCATTTGTATTATTTTCATTTACGAGTCTCGTCGGTGAAAGTTGTTATCTTTTTGAGTACATCAAGTTCAACCTGCTGACACCCACAGAGCAAAAGCCTAAAATCCTCAGGAACCAAACCTTCCAATAGTAGTAGAGAGGACATCATATAAACCAGACTTCATTGAATAAAAGGGAAGAGAGAGAGAGAACAAAAGACAGGAAGAAGAAAGAGGAGAAAGAATGACCCAGTAAACATGGCTATTACCCACAGTAAACCTATCCTACCCTGGAGTGGTTCTTCAATTATTTTATCATCCTAAGTTCAGCATAGCGTCTTACATATTCCAATACATCATCAGCCACCATTGAATTATCAGAGAGAGAGGAGAGGAGACTGTGAGTGCCCCCTCCTTCATTCTCACCCAAAGTAACCTCCCAACTCAGACCAGTGAACATACACTACAAAAATTTTAATAAAGGTATATGTATTGTATGGAGTGTACATGTACAAGTACATGTACAGATAAATTGTATAGAAGACTATGTACATGATAACAGAATAATGATAGTGGAGTGGTTACCCATTTCTGAGACATGTGACCCAATGACCAGCTTACCCAATCCTTCATAAAGAGCAGATCAAAGAATGACAATTCCTCCCATGAAATCTTGAGAGAAGATAGGAACAACAAAAATGAGGGAAGAAAAGAAAGAGGGAGAGAGAGAGATACAAGATACAGTGGTAAGTTTCTCAGGAGTGACAGTAACCAATCATTACATTAATTGATTAACAGCATCAAACAATCATTATGAATGAAAGGTCAGAGTGTACCCCATTACATCATCTCATTACATTATGTCCAATAAACACACACAATTTCCACACACACACTTAACATACCACACATTAAATCATACCCTCATGGACTCTCAATAACAAAATTACATGTTCCTATTAAAACCTTTGGCCAATAAAAAAGCTCTTATTAGCATAGGCGGCGGCAGGATTTGTAGGGTAGCTGGGCAAGAAAAATGGCGCGTGAAGCGCGCCGTGATTTTGGCCACGCCCACTTTTCCATGCGTATTTTGGGCGTATACTCAACGCATGCATACATTATGATATACCATAAAAATACACCTAGAAGGCCCCCTATCTTATCTGTAAAGCTCTATTCAACCTGTAAAGTGCTAGTCCTGGTCCTCCTGGAAGGCTTGTTGACAAAGGAAAGCAAAAAAGACTCTCTCTTGCTAGCCATGGTAATTATTCATGACTAAAATGATGTCATTAATTAAATTCTTATTTCAGGTCAAAATTTTTGGTCGGGCATTGCCCGACTATGCCCGACCCTGCAGCCGCCTATGCTTATCAGGAGGTACATGTAGCTCTTTTCAAGCAATAAAGTGAACTTTGGATTTGAATTGAATAATGCTAGCCACTACTGCTAATGATGGCTAGGATCAAGTTTAACCAGATACACTACAGTGTGGCTAATAATAAATAGGACCCACTAAGTGTTAATGTGTATCATCCTTACATATCAGACAGTGAACACATGATCACCACATGCTGTCATGCACAGATTGACTCAGCAGCAAAATTGTAGTATTATACATAATGAAATTAATTATTATAAGCACATAAATATTGTGAATTAGATATTAAACACACACACACACACACTCATTAATGGTATACCTTCTTGTTAAGTAGATACTTGTAAATGTGTCTACAGAAAGGAAGAGACATCATTTCAGAATGTAACAATGCCA